TCCTATCACTCCTGCCTCCGGCTCTATGAGTGTCCATCTCTCCTTCCAGGCCCAGTTCACGTGTCTGTTGTCATGAAGTTTTCCCCAATAGCCCCGACAACACTGAGCAGCCCTGCCTCTCGCTTGCTGTGAAAGTCGGGCTAGAAATGATTTGTTCTTGAGGCAGGAGGGTTAACATCAACTGCTAGTGTACCTGGAGGTAGAATTGGTACATTCCAAGCTGTTGCTACAATTTCTTCCCTTAGGGAGTTGTAAACAAAGCTTATCCCTCCCTAGAAGGTCCCAATGGCAAACTGAGGTGTGATTCCATCAAACTTCACCCGGGGACCAATGCTTTTGTGTTTCTTAGGCTTACTTACAGGTCTGTGGGGGTTATGGGCAGCAGGGTGGGTGGCCTTGAAGCAGCCATACTAGAAGGTACCAGCATGGATGAGGAAGGACTTCCCAGTGGACCAATAGATGGAAGCCCCCCTCCCTGGACCTTCCCAATGTATGTACTTCTAGCCCTTCCCCAATATCACATGCAATTAGGGCAGAATTGCATACAACTGGCTAGGAGAAGCGGCTGATGACCTCCCACCCTCACGCCTCCTCCTATGAGAGAACATCACAGTCAACAAGTCCAGCTGTGGTAAGCCTTTGTCAACCAGCACAGCTGAACTCATGAATCTACAGTGGCAGTTGGTTGTTATGGAATATTAACTAGGCAAAGACGTGTCACATCTGTTTAGGCTGCAGACCTTAACCATGTAAAGGCGTGTTACTTTTGTTTATGCTGCGTTTGTTTAATGATGTAAAGATGTGTGGCATCTGTTTCACCTTGCCTGCCTAAGGCACCTGATTGGTCTAATAAAGAGCTGGACAGCCAATAGCTAGGCAGGAGAAAGGATAGGCGGGGCTGGCAGGCAGAGAGAATAAATAAGAGGAGAAATCTAGGCTCAAAGAAAAAGAAATGAGGGGAGGAGAAGGCAGAGAGAACAAGGCAGCCACCAGTCAGCTTGACACGGGAAAAAGTGAAAATATACAGAAGAAAGGTAAAAAGCCCCGAGGCAGAAGGTAGATTAAACAGGTTAATTTAAGTTAAAAGAGCTAGCCAGAAAAGAGCAAAGCTAGGCCAAGCATTCAAAACTAATAAGTCTCTGTGTCATGTGGGAGCTGGTTGGTGGCCCCAAAGAAAAAGCCTGGTACAGTCTGTGACAGTCCGGGATGACACCTTCGAGTTCCAAAGCACCTGAGCCCTTTAGCAATGCCAGTGAGAAAGTCTGGGGAAGGGGAGGCAGTGTGTGTCCACTGCTTGTCGACTCTGGTCCCAACCACTCACCTTGGCAGTAACCAACTTACTGTGACATTATCTCATTTTATCCAACTGTATGCAGATCTTAATAGCTCTTCAAAGAGTGTGTTGCTAGAAATGACCATGGAAGATGTCACAGGGAATCACTGGTCATTCTCAAGGGGCCCCTCAAGTTCTCCTTCATTCTTGGGTTTAGTTTGACAGGTCTCCAAAAGGTAAGTTCGAGAACACTCCCAGAAGTAGTATGGTTTGTAACACGAATCTTAAAAGTTCTTATTAATAAAATCAAACCTGAAGCCAGGTATTGGGGTGAATGCTGGAAGATCAGAGAAGCAGAACAAGCCACAGCCACCTCACCTCACCATTTCCTCAGCTGATCCTGTTTCCTCAGACTGGATGGCTCTCAGCTGAACTATGCTGCTCAAACGCCTAAAAGCTTAACCAGGCTATCGTTCCTCGTCCTCATGCCTTAAATACCTTTCTGCCTCCTGCCATCACTTCCTGGGATTAAAGGCATGTGTCACCATGCTTGGCTGTTTCCAGTGTGGCCTTGAACTCACAGAGATCCAGGTAGATCTCTGCCTCAGGAATGCTAGGGTTAAAGGCGTGTGCTATCACTGCCTTACCTCTATGTTAATATTGTGGCTGTTTTGTTCTCTGACCCCAGATAAGTTTATTCGAGTGCACAATATTTTGGGGAACACAATACCACCACAATGGTTTCCTGGGGCCTTTCATAGACGTATATATCCATACATTTGCATACATAAGAATATACATCTTACATCTGTATATTTTGTGTATAAACCAGGTTGTTTATTTGCAGCTGAAGGTCTTAGTCCAATTCTTGCGGCTACTAGTCTCTTCCTTCAGAGTAATGTATAGGTAAGGAGCTGAGGTCAGCCCGGCATGGTGGTGCATGACTGGAAATCCTAGCACTTTCAAAGACGGGAAGATCCACCTGGGTCAGCCTGGGCTCCATGAGATCCTGTCTCAAAATGTGTGGGGATGGGCAGGGCTGGGAATATAGCTCAGTTATACAATGCTTGTCTCTCATTCAGGAAGCCCCGGGTTCGAACCCTGGCACTATATAAAACCAGATGTAGAGGCTCACACCTGTAACCCCAGGTATAACTCAGGAGATGGAGGCAGAAGGGTCCAAGGCCAAGGTTATCTTCATGTATATAGGGAGTTTGAGATCAGCCTGAGCTAGAGACTCTGTGTAGAGGGAGATGAGGAGGGAGAGTGAGGAGGAGGAGGAGGAGAGAGATAGCTAAACTGACATTTAGGACCTTACTCAGTGAACGTACAATTAGAAGCTCTCTGATTTCTTTTCATGGTTTAGAAAGGCCCTGGTTACAAACTGCTCTGGCCCTTTCGCTTGCTGCCTGAGCCAAGTTCCCCGATTCTCTGTGCCCCGGTTTCCCGACCTGTTCTGTGTGAATAGCACTCGGAGCTGACTTAAAGCACTCAGAGCTGACTTAAGGAGTTGAGGTATAAAGTGCTTGGGATGGTAAGTAGCATCTGGCACGACTCTCTCGGTGTTTGCTTTTGTGGTTATCATTTCCACTTTTTCTACGGTTCCTCAGAATCTAAGGCTTGGCTCAAACACTACAACAGCCTGAACGCGACAATGGAGTTCCTACGGAACTTGTTTGTAGTCGTTAAAGGATACGCTACGCCCAGCAGCATAGAAAAGCCCTTCCCTTGGCTGATCATATAAAATAGCCAGGAGTTCCTCTTGCACACGGCACCTGGGCCTTAGCTCCGCGCCCAGTTTAATGCTTATTCACTTTTCCTACGTCCCTTTTCTTTTTCTTTCACCAGGCCATACATGCCGTGGGGCGGTACGTTTGTGAATACAGCAAGAAAAATCCCGACAGTCTAGAGGCCTTCCGCGAGGTTCTATGCGCGTACGTTTTATTGCACATTTAATGCAAATATATTTCTCTGGCTCCTCAGCCCAGGGGCCCGGTGCCAAGAACTCTAACTGCCTCTCCAAGTCAGAGCCAGTCCCTTGGGCAAGGTGAGGCCTGACTGACAGCACACGGAGGGCGGGACTCAGCGAGGGGCGTGGCCTCCCGTCTGATTCAACTGGCCTAGCCGGGTCTCCACCTATCCCCGGGGACACCTTGTCTCAGGAAAGAGAAGCCTTTGTTGGTGGGATGATCCGCCTCCCCTCCACCACCCCAGAAAAACCTGCACGTGGAGGGTTCGGCTGCCTTCATGTATGCCTCCTATTTCCATTGTTTTGCTTTTACTAGTACAGGGTGGCCACACCCCACTTAGTGTCTATTGGATAAAGTCGTGAAGAGTTGCTTTTGTGTTTGTTTAAAGCTTCCCACGCTGCTGAAAGAGTACCTGGGTCCCAGGTGGGAGAGGCAGTTCTGGCCTGTCCGGGATGAGCCCGTCTTTTGAAGTTGCCTTCTGGACTAGATTTCGTCTTCCTTCTCCTCCTCTTCCCATTCGCTTTACCTGGTACTGAGTGACAGGGAACTACCAATGTGGACTCAGTGGGGGGATGGGGTGCTTGTTTTTTCTTTTTCTTCCTCCAACCTTCCTCCGGCCCAGCCCAACAAACCCCTGCTAGACAGTCGGGTATTAGAACAGGTGAAGCCTACAGTTTCGAGATCGGGAAGGGGGAAGGATTTTCAGCAGGTGTTTTATTTAAGGGACAAACGTCCGCCTGGACCAGGCCAGGAGGAGAACTCCCCAAGTGTCCTCGGGTAGCACATTCCGTTGAGTGAATAAGTTGGGGAGGGAGGCTGGCCCTGAGCCACAGGCGCGCGCACACACAGCTAATTCAGCAGTCTGATGGGGGTTGTTCACCGCGCTGGGCACAGATGCCACAGGCCTTAACCGGCAGGCAGGATTCCTCATAGCTGCCACTCAGGTGCCCGCTGAGTCGTGCTATTAGCCTCTCTTTCCTGCTGGAAAAGCTGAAGCAACCATGACTTGTCCAGGGTCACACACCAAGCTTGGGACCAAAATAACCTTGACTCCTCCTCCTCCTCCTCCTCCTCCTCCTCCTCCTCCTCCTCCT